GCATTACTGAGTGATCGATGTCCATTTGTAGGCTTTGCGATCGTGTGCCAAGCAAGCAACAAGGACACACACACAACAGTTAAAGCTGATCTCATATCACATATCTCAGCAATCAGATCCCAGCCATCACTTCTCAACCGTGAGATTTCAGCCGCTGTCTGAACCGTAGTTTTATGTTAGTTATGACATCTTCAACCATGAGCTTAGCGCGGTCTTCTTTCCCTCCATCACCACAGATCAAGTATGGCCTCATCTCAAGCACGATCCCATCTCAACCACAACCACCACCAACACCATCTTATCTCGGGTTGCATTCTCCTCTCGGCCACGATTGCATCTCAGCCAGTTGCACATCAGCTGTGGTCTTCAGAAAGAATTCCACCTCGGCCGCTGTGCCATCTCGGTTTCGACCTGAGACCGAGTGAGAAAATGCCGTCTCCTCCCCTCGAAGGCAGGGCTTGAGCAGCCCACGACCGCCAAATTGGCCGCACTGAGCCCTGGCCTTGAAACAAGTTGCATGCGGACATCTGGGAGGTTGGTTTTTCAATAGTGAGGAACAACGTCTGGAACGATTGCCACATCAGACACAGCACATCCAGTATATCTCTAACTATGGCTCTTGCTACTAGCTATGTGGCCTACTCCAGTCTAAAACCAGCGACCCAGGAAACATTCAGTCATAAACTAACGTCCTGGTCTTGAGACTCGGTGATGCTTTGCTGTGCAAACTAAATACATTATGAGATAAATGACGATAAATAATTAAACCGTGTGGATTGATGGCAGTTCAACGTTGTATGAACATGATAATTGTTTTTTTACCCTTCTATCTGGCAACAAAACTGACACCTTTTTTTTACAAGAAGTCATGTTTGCATAGACCACAATACCTGCAGCCATAATGCAAACAAAAAACATAACTCTGATAATATATGCACTGTCCTTGAAGTTGATTGGTCCACACCCGAGACAGCTTTCCTTAGAGCCTAGTCTCACATGGGTTAGACCAGATGACGCCAAAAGGCGCACAACTCAAAGACAATGCACCATCAGAGTATGAGAGCTCGGAGTAAGCATTTACACCATTGGAACCTAATTTGCCAGTAAAACATATGATAATTGTTTTTTTACCTTTCTATCTGGCAACAAAACTCCTTGTAAAAAAATAAATAAAAACAAGGTGTCAGTTTTGTTGCCAGCTGAAGGGTAAAAAAACAATTATCATATTTTTTACTGCCAAATGAGGTTCCAATGGTGTAAATGTTGTATGAACATCCCCGCGCTAGCTGCACCCGGTTGAAAAAGAGGAAGTGGCATTGCCACTTCCGGCATTGGTGGCAGCTCGTGTTATCGCCCACATTTTCCCCCACCGGCAGCGGATGGAAAATTAGCCGCATGACCACAGAGCGTGCCGATGGTTGGAGGAGAGGAGGGGTAACGTTACATTCACACATCAACGCCAACAGTAAACCTTTGCTTCTCCAAGCGTGCGTGACAATGGGGAGAGGAGTTTTTGTTCCACCTCTCTCCCGGTTTCAGATGACATGACCTTTGGGCATGAGCCCATTTGTCGCTCGATTTCACCAAACCCTCCCTGCACCTTATCCACATTTCAACCCCCACCCCCTCTTTCTCTCTGCTTGCAATGGAATATCCCATTTGAACCCATGTGACTTTAGCAGCTCTGAAAAATAATGCGCTCTAGAGGAGGCAAAGGGCAATTTAATGTGGAGCGATGAATTGTATTTGTTTTCACGGGGGGTTAAACACTCTAGGGTAATACACGAGATAAATGAGAACAGACGGCGCAAAATGCATACGAGACATTTCATTGCTGGTTCTAGACGAATGACAACATTTCCCACACATTGTATCCGTCCACATTTTGGTCACATTCTCAGTACAAGTTACAAACATGTAAAATCTCTTCCGTAGCAAGAAGATATGAACACAACATCGAAATGAGAAAAACGATGATGGACATGGAAGCACCAGGGTCTTGATCGAGAGGCCTAGGAAGGTGCGAAGTGGTGAACCGGGGGGTTGGGGGGGGTGATGGCCCAGGACAGGAACGAGTTGGAGAGGGCAGATGGCACCATGCGTGGTGGAAATCACACGAAGCAGTTTTGAGTTGATTTTGTTTAACCAGGTGCAAACTCAGTGCATGTTTATTTATGCAGACGTACAAATATATATGAAGCTTGCAGTTCAAAGGAACACAACAGCATGCAACGTGCCCCCCTTGTTTATTTCAAATTGCGTAATTAAAGGGGGTGGGTTTAACTTTAATCGCTCACGACATTCGCATGCTCGCATACTTGTGTGCATGCAAATGCAGTTTCCAAGATTTCACAAGAAAAAAAACCTTCAACTTCTCGCAAAAAAGGGATCACGATTGACCCCAAACAGGGCCTCCCCTCGGGGCTCCCAACACCCCTCTCTGCTTCGCCGCAAGCAGACGAAGCTTTGCCCGCAACGCGGTTTCCCTTTCAAAGATAGCCCACAAAGGGCGCTGCTAATGTCTTAATTGTAACAAACAAAGGGCGGCTCTAAACAATACAGCTGGCTTCATGAAAATTTAACAGCGACGCGATGGGGCAGCGCTCGCGACAAATCCCCGCGCTTCCAGGCAGCGCCGCCGCTCCGCGTTTGGCATTCCCAACTGGCAGTGTGCAATGCTCGATAATGCGGCTGCTACTACTGCTACGCATCGCTGGCCCCCGTCATCCGCGCTGTCAACGCCGCACAGTGTTGTCGCTTTGATCGCGTTAGGTCAGGCTCGGACAAGTTGGCTCGGGATGCGAGAAAGAATAGAACTTGTGGACATCTTCTTGGTTCTTTCGGTAAAGTCACGTAGAATGGAAATAATAAAATAATTAAATTTAAACTAAATTAAATCATTCTCACGACGTTTCGGCCACAACGCAAGTAGCCGTCCTCCTCGACAGACCTGTTCTCCACCTGAGGACGGCTGCGTGCGTTGTGGCCGAAACGTCGTGAGAATTATTTTATTATGTTTTATTATTTTATTATTTCCATTCTACGTGACTTTACTGAAAGAACCAAGAAGATGAATCCCTGCAGTCACGAAAGCTTTAAATCGAAACTTGTGGACAGTTACAGCTCCAGAAGCGAGGGACTCGGTTTGTCCTCAATAAGGAGCCTGCCGAGGTGTGATGGTTAGCAGCACACCAGACTTGCAATGAAGAGGTCAGCAGTTTGATTCCATTACACGGCATGAAAGTTGAAACGAAGATTTGCCTGTGGTTACTGCCAGTCAGGTACTCTACTCATTCCAGTGTACCAGCGACCGAGAAAATATTCAGTGAGATATTAAGTCGCTGTTACATGCATAGTTGAAACTATTGGCAAGCTTCTCAAATCCCCGTCTCTGTCCACGAGGAGTATAAACGGGTTCACCGCAGATAGCGGATCGGCAGGTTGCGGTTTGGTGGACTACAGTGCGGATACTCTTCCAAGATGTGAGGCCAACGAAGAAGAGTTTGTTTAAGATGTAGGCTTTCACGACCAATATTATTCATAATAAAGGTTTTTGGGTTAGATCGCGTTATTTATAAATGTGTCGTAACCCTCCACCACCCGACACGGCCAATCAGTAAAAAATGCGTCACGTTTACAAAGGACAAATAGTTCACTACTTTGTGTTGAAGAGTGAATCAACATCATTTAAAATGTGTGTACCCTCAAGAGAGGCTCCCTGGGACTCACTCAAGAATCTCCGTCTTGTGGAGACCCTTTCAGTGGCAGTGGGGTGTGACAGCAATTGCAGGAACGGTAATTTTACATTCAGGTACAGTTACCTCTTTGTTGAGTGTCACTCCCCATCAGTCTATTTTAAACTATTTTTTTTTAACAGGTAAGGCTCACCGAGCTACATAGCTTTCTCAGAACCGACCTGGACACAAATGATAGGTCAACGAAGTGGCTCACCATGTGGAGATTTCTAGCAGCCAAATATTGTAAACGTGTGGACGGTCATTCTAAATGTGGAGAGAAAAACCGGAGGACACGGAGAAAAATCCACGCGGCCATGGGAGAACGCTGTAAACAACACATTGTGGGCACTTTTTTTTATAGTACTCATGTGTTGCAGTGGTGTTGCTTATTATTCTACCTTCCTTCATTCACTACAAAAAAAACTATTTATATTTTACCAGGTAGGGTCCACTGAGCTTTGTGGCTGTTTTTTCAGAAGCGACGTGGCCACAATTGAGAGCTCAACGAAGCGTTTTTTTTTTTTCACGCGGATAATTTATAGCCGCCAAATAATCTGAACGCGTGATTCTAAATGTGGAGGGGAAAAACCGGAGGACCCGGAGAAAAAATCCACACGACCACGGAGAGAATGCCTAAACTCCAAATATACAACAGCAGGCGTCAGGGTCGAGATCAAACCCACGACCTCCTGTAAACCGGGCGAGGTACTTAACATCTCGCCACCGTGGGACGGCCCCATGAGCTGCCACCATAGTCAATCGTCACAACGATCTCCTTAAAGTGCCATGGTTCGGCTCAAGTAGCCTGTGAGGGCCCAGATATACAAACTGGCAGCACTGTATGAGGCTGTTGCCACTTACTGCGCAAGAAACGCCATCTCTGAAAGCCCAAAGGGAATTCCTAAAATACCCCAACTGTGACATTAGCCGCAATATTAAATTCATTACACTGTGTAGAAAGCACAAGAATATCGGCAAACAATTTGACTAATTCCTTATTCGTTCAAAAACATGAAACCTTGAATTAATATCGAGAGGTGTTTCGCTCTGCCACCTACAAGTTTCCGTCGCCAATTTAACGCTTCACTCGCTTCGCAAATTGCTTTCGTCGATTGCCCACATTTTTAACAAAGTTCACGGCTTCTCGTTGGCCGTGACGTGGAAAATACCTGCGTGCTCGCCAAAGGCAGCCACTTTCACACGCCCGTACATGCAGCAGCAGCAGGAGCAGCAAGAGGGGAAAAATGTGCGCGAGTCACTCACCCCACTGTGTCTTGAGAGATGAGGATGTCAAGCGAGTAACCCTAGTCACTGCCTGGCCGATGGTTCCGACTGGCCAATTGGAGTCACTCTGAGGATCAGTATCAACCACAGCGTCCAGCTAATCAGAGATTAGCCGTCGGTTCACACGACGCAAGCCACTTTCTCACCCGTTAAGAGACCGCAAACGATTAAAAATGACGACGGTTTTTCTCAATGCACTTTGCGGCCCCCGAAACGATTTGCATCCAAGGTCAAATTAGCACGAGTTACATCAGACACGCCAAGCTGTGACTTCCTCCTACAGAAATCTGAAATGTTCTCGAAAGCAAGTCTCATACCCCCCCAAAAAAATAGAATGGCCCCATTGGCTCACTTTGTGTTCATTTTTTATCATAGGTCACAAACCCAAAATAAACGTGTGGCACACATTAACGCAACATATCACATTGCCAGCATAATAACACTTTGCTGGCAGTGACGACAAGCGGCCTGCACTGTCCACTCTTTGGAAGCCGGAGAGCTGCATGTGATCGTTTAAAACGCACATTCCAGCAACCCACGGCGACATTATGCAATGGCGCATTCATGAAACTTGCCGTTTGGGATGGAAACACCCCCGGAATCTTGGGACTGGTTCACATTTTGGCATTTCACTCATCAATAAAAAAATATACAAAATAATATTTTAGCTCCGTCAACCCACTCGCATCTGAAGGCATCTCCATGCCATGTTAGTAATGTTGGTTGTTCGACCACATTTCCATCATGCTCGCTCATCAGCGTGGGCTTAAATCAGCGAGCATAATAGCAACACAGTACACCAATGGCTATGACTGTACTTTCATCTGTTGGCTACCAGACCCCCGCAGCTCATACTGTTAACCTCTTTCTTTATGCATGGCGGGCGACCATTCAAGCACCATCCAGGCTCAACCCTGCTTAGTAGCTCTTGAGATCCGATGAGGTCGGGAAAATTGCAGGTCGATTTCCTATGACCAGTTGAGATATTCACTATCCACCGATGTTAGCCGTGGCTGAGTATCGAACTTGTAGAGATTTCGGAGTTCATTGGGCAGTATGCGATCCAGTGTGATTGAGAACTACCACATAGCCCGGGTTACCAGAAGCTTTGGAGTGTGAGGTGCACCCACAACTGAAGCCCGGTGTCAAAGGTACTGTCCATAAAAAAAACCTCGTCACACACACACACACCATTTCCGGATTATAAGATGCACCCCCAAATTTTACTTTACAATACAGATGGGCAAAAAAGTGCACCTTAAGATTCATAGAATCCAGTCCGTAAAATAACATTCGCTTAAATAGATAATCCACATACATTCATGGTCATGACTTAAATCCAGGCAAAGTGAACTCGATTTCGCCCATCTGCCTTGAAGACCTGATGGAGGTTATACAAAAGCCCTGGATTACTAACCGCCCATGCTTCAAACAACTGTAGATGCAACGTTAGACTATGCCCCCTATTGCAGTCATAGAATTGGAGCAATAAGAGTGGCACTTATCCAAGCGTGGGGTGAGCTCATGGAGGGAGAGAGGCCACGCATGAATTAGGCGGAGGCTGCAGAACTGCCCACACCAGCGGGTCATTACAAAATGCAACCACGTAATGGGGGGAAACTCGCATTTAGAAAGAAAAGATATTAAAGGATTTGTGCCCAGTCTGTTTCACATGAGCCACATGGCGTGACTTCTCAGTGCAAAGTACGGTACACTATAGCTTGGATGAAGAAATCGAATCCTCTACCAAACACATTCCTGCGGAGGGAGCTGGTAGGAACGTTGGGTTGCTCGGTCAATGGCCAGGGTCAACGGCGGCGTGGTGTATTCCGCAAATATGCCCGACTGTGAGGGCGGGCACAAGCCGGCGTGAGTAGGTTAAACGTTGAGTTTTATAAGGGGACCACGGGGTGACCAGCCCCACCCCTCCCACCCCCCACCCAGCCCCACCCTCCCCACCGAGCCCCTCCCCACCCTCCCCTCCCCAACCAGCCCCTCCCCACCCTCCCCACCCAGCCCTTCCCCACCCTCCCCTCTCCACCCAGCCCCACCCCTCCCATTTTTGGATGCACGACAGACGGACGGACACAATAATCTCCTGTGGGCTGGTGGAACCAGGTGGTTCCTACCAGTATTATTGGTTTCACTGACAAATGGACTGATTGGTGAAAATAGTTGGATTTGTAAAGCTTCACACCTCTGTTCTGGGAGGTGACGAGTGGGGGGTCTTCTGACCAAATTGGCATCATCAGCTAGGCCAGGGGTCGGCAACCAAAATAACAAGAAGAGCCATTTGTTTACAATTCGGTACAAAATTCAGTATTTCAAGAGCCGCAATGCATCTGAGTACATACAGTACATACGTACATATCGTCAAGAAGCAGCCCGTAAAGAGCCGCATGCGGCTCCGGAGCCGTAGGTTGCCGACCCCTGAGCTAGGCCATGCCGAGTAGGGGTACATAGAGGGATGTCACTCGCCTTTGGGTGGTCAACACTTTTAACGGGGTCCGAGTAATGACCAGCAACAATAAGAAAAAGCTAATTCCAATTTTTAGTCGATTAATCGACGAATCGACCAATCATCCCAGCTTCAATACAAAGTAAATAATTTAAGTCAGGCGAAAACCCACAAGGACTTCAAATTTCACTCTCGTACAAGATAGACCAGGGAATTCTAGATTTGAAGCTTTCGTGACTGCAAGGATTCATATTCTTAGGTTTTTTCGGTAAAGTCACGTAGGCAAAAAATTAAAATTAAAATGAATAAAAGTAAAATAAAATAAAAATCACGACGTTTCGGAGGCAACACAAGCTTCCGTCTTCAGGTGGAACCGTCACAGCCCGACAGCTGTATCAAGTAATAATTTTAATTTTTTACCTACGTGACTTTACCGAAAAAACCAAAGAATTTGAGACCAGGGAATACATATCAGTGCCCTTTAGTCAATCCACCACTGGATGTGTGAGGCCCTCCCTATGCAGTACGAGTCACGGGGGTTATTTGACCATACTTCACCGCGCGGGCAAGAGCGGGTATGGTGAAGGTGGTGGAGCCATCGACCGAGGTGGGGTCATAGTGCTGTCTAATAAAGGCGTTTTGTGCACGGCACGCACAACGAAGTAGGCAAGTGTGTACGGTACGGTATCATCAATGTGGGTGTATAAACCCAGCCCAATGCTGCGATAAACACAGTGATGACATATGCTACTTCAGTTTAGTAAGAGCAGAGTACTGTAATTATAACATCATGTAATTCAATTACCGAAGGCCGGTTTGACTTAATGAATACTGTTGCAGGACTGACACGCCAAGGGTGGACATGTATTGTGTGAATTTTGACATCTGCCCAGTAAGGGGCCGTCCATAAATGACGTCACGCACCTGGGGGGGAGGGTCAAACATTTGTGACGATGTGTGACGAGGGGGGGGGGGTGAGAAATGTGACGTCACATCAAAATGCTGAAATTTAGATAAATATAGACAACACGTTCTACTTAATTAAATTGACTTTTTAATAAATGTTTTCTCCTACAGCATCAGAGTGCAGCGCCACATTAAATACGCACTACAATGACAATAGTTTAAAGCGATTTGAAGCATGTTTAATTTGGGGGGGGGCAGAGCTTTGTGACGTCATTTGAGGGGGGTCTGACTTTTTGTGACGCCGTGTGACGATGGGGGGGGGGGTCAAAACTCGTCCAAAATCGCGTGACGTCATTTATGGACGGCCCCTTATCCTTTTTAACGCTGATCACAATTAAAGAATAAGGCGCAAAACGACCGGCTCCATCGAGAGCCCCCTTTTTAGAACATAGGACACTCAACATCAACACACCCGCGGCGTGTTGAGCGTTAGAGGTCGCGACCACGCAAGATACAGTGCATTAGGGGCCGTCCATAAATGACGTCACGCAATTTTGGACGATTTCTGACCCCCCCCCCCCATCGTCACACGGAGTCACAGAAAGTCAGACCCCCCCCCCCACTCAAATATGACGTCACAAAGCTCTGCCCCCCCCCCCTCCCCCCAAAATAAAACATGTTTCAAATCGCTTTAAACTATTGTCATTGTGTAGTGCGTATTTAATGTGGCGCTGCACTCTGAATGTTGTAGGAGAAAACATTTATTAAAAAGTCTATTTAATTAAGTAGAACGTGTTGTCTATATTTAATTAAAGTTGCGCATTTTGATGTGACGTTACATTTCTCACCCCCCCCCCTCCTCGTCACACATCGTCACAAATGTCTGACCCCCCCCCCCTAGGTGCGTGACGTCATTTATGGACGGCCCCTTATGACATTAACACCACACCCCCCTCCCCTTTAAATGCTTTAACAGAACCACACAAACTCGCCCGATAACACAGATGTTTTTGTAGCGGTTTTAACCAAGAGGGCCCAACTTCGCTCGGGATGTGTGAGATGTGATAACTCCATCATCTTGGTCGTCATCGTTACTTTGGCTTAGCGCCAAGGAGGAGGAGGAGGATGGAGACTTCCCGAGACGAGAATCTTCCCAGGACCGAGAGCGATGGACCACAGAGGGAGGGAAATGGCGAGAACAGGAGGAGGAGGCTTCCCCACGGCTCCCACAGCGACTCGTGCGCGTAGCGGTGTGATGGTGGAGGATGGAGTCAGTCGCGTGGAAAGCGGTGCGCTGTGTACATGTTAGACAGTTAGAGTGTGTGGCTGGTGTGCAAACATCGCCACTGGGGAGACAAAGGCGGCCGTGGTGCTTGGTCACCCAACCACGTTGCTCGCTATTCACCCCACTTGCCCCCACCCCGCTAAGAGTTATGTTAAAGGCTTTACGGGGGATCTTTGTCTTTGGGACCGATGCCGTTATTCCAGCACCATGGAATCTTCATTTGTCACCAGCGGACAGCAAGACGGGTGGGAGGGTTGCGACTCTTTTAGAAGTCGTGGAAATGTGATGACTCTCAGACGACAGAAGCAACCCCCCCCCCGCCGCCGCCTTCGACCCAACACCAAAGAAACCCCCCCGTCTAACAACTATAGCCAACAATGCTCAGCAACCACCACTACTATCCACGTCTCACTCACAGCTATGCCAGTGTGTCGTATTTATACTGTGAAATGTGTTCAAATCAAACCCAAACCCACACTCCCCAAAATCCACCCAAAACTCTAGGCCAACAGCAGACACGAGGCTTACATTCACCAGCCCACGTCTGTTTCATACTATGTACGCACGCTGTTGAATTTCTGATTTGGTGAAGTATGGTCAACTTCAGCAACCGGCATCCCCCCTCCTCCTCCTCCTCCCCACCAACTCTGACAGCAGGAACAGCTCAAGAACCGCCCCTACCACCACTCAACAATAGCAGCAGACACCAAACTCGTCTATGTAGCCCATGCATCATTTAACAATACGAAAGCACACTGTTGAATTTTCGATTTGGTGAAGTATGGTCAACTCATGCGACCTCCCAGAAACTGGAAAAGCCCAGCAGTGCCAACTCAAGCAACCCACCCCCCTTACCTAACCCACTCACAAGAATGTCAACAGACACAAAGCCCCCAGCTGTACAGCCCCATTGTCTTAACAACAATGCCACTGTTGTATTTCTATTGTTGGTGAAGTATGGTCAAGCCCCCCCCCCCCACCGCAACTATAATCTAGCAAAGCAGCACAACTGTTCGCCACGCTAAGCTTCAGAGAGCACGATTATACGTAACAACTATCCATTGCCTTGTCGTACAGAATGATGCGTTTGTAGATGTGCCCCTCTAAAGTAAACAAACAAAAAAATGGATAAATTATTGTGATAACAGAATGTTGATTTCAAAGCACCGGTGTATTCCTTCCCCACCCAATCTCTGGGCGCGTATTAAACATCTTTAGACGATCTCCTCTCGCTGTTTTCACAATATTCAATCACCTGTTGCATAGAGAGAGAGGCTGGTTAGACTAAAAATAGTGGGGTTGACTAGAATGGGATCATCCTGTCCCTGCATGTAACGCGGGCTTGGGGAAAGGACGGTCAAATCCTGGCGTGACGTACAGCACATGGCGTGGGGAGGCATTCATCCATCTGTGGATTGAGAATGGCGATACTTTTATCTGTTTGTATAACCAATGATGTTTCTCCAGATGATCCGTGGCCACGTGGTCCTCAAAGTACACCTAGCCTGGCACCAATCTCTCACGTTGAGGTTGTCACCGGCGTTGCTTGCCTATTATCAGCCAGCGACTGTCATCGTCACATCAAGTTATAAATTATTAAATCCCCCACGGCTCCACTCTGTCCATCCAGCGGTCTCGACTCAAAGGACCACAGCAAGTCCATTGATCGCGTGTGGCGGAGGGGTAAAGTGTGGGTACTCTCGATTCTATTCAAGACGCCAAGCCACCGTGGAAGAATAGGCCAAAACACCCTCGAAGAAACAGACTGTGGATCTCTCTCGCCCTCTCGGACTCAACTCGTTATTTGCAAGCCCTTCCCCGAAAGCCGTTGCGTGAGCAAGTCATTACCGGGAGCCGCATCTATCACGCGTTCCTTAACTAATCAAACTCACCTGTTGGAGGAGGCACAGGTTAAGGGGGGGGGGGTGTTGGCAGCCTTCCCAGTACGTGGTCGTAGATAGACTGGAGACGGAGTGGGTGTGTGTGTGGGGGGGGGGTTAACCCCAGCGCTTCGTCCTCCCCGCCACCACTGCCTCGCACGAGGTTAAAGGATCCCTGGGTTCGAGAGCGCGAGGCGTCGATGGTTCGCTCACGGGAAGGAGCGGCCACGATCTTCTGCAGGAACACGCGTGTGGAGGTCTGGCGAGTGGAGACTCTCTCACTCCGGAACGCAGTGGGGATGGGGGAGGAGGAAGGGGGGGCTAGCAGGAGGAGGGGGGGGGCTAGGAGACCACGCCCTGTATGGAGGCCACGCCCACCCATTCTACCCCCCACCTCCCCCCACCTCCCCCACCTCCCCCACCACCCCCCACCTCCCCCCACCTCTGCCCCTACATTCCCCTTCCAGCAGCCGCGCCCTGATGGCGATCCCTACACAATAAAAGTCCCATGGTGCCACGGCAAAACTTAGTTTTGCGTTCGTTCTGGAAAGGACAAGCAACGTGAAGGACGTTCGTCAATAGCACTGTGGAACTTTAAGAGGGGGGCGAGGAGGAGAACGCCACACAAAAATAGGCGACGTTTCGAGCAATGGGCCTTCTTCATATCACGCATCAATAGAGAGGCCAGATAGAGTGGATACAGATTTGAAGATCGCACTTTGCACTGTAGGGCCGGATGACAATTAGATTTTTTTCCCCTGATGACAAGTTTTTAAATTGCCATGTGAATATCGTTACCGAATAGTAACTACATTACAAGACGTATTCCAATAATGAAAGGTGTGAAAGAGAAAAACTCACTTATACTCTAAGTAACGTTATAAAATGCTGCTGGTACATTTTAATTATGGGAAAACATTTAAGGTCAAAACACAATCACACTTGGCAATGCGTTCCCGAAGCAGAGCAATACGTTTAACACGCAGGCTTTCGCGATCAATATCATCCATAATAGAGGTTGTAAATGTTGTGGCTTGGCTCTCCAACACACCAGTTAGTGCTGTACTAATGACGAATTGGCATGTTGTGTTTACGTGACAACCCTTACTAGTTGGCTGTGTCGGGTGGTGGCGGGTTTTAACGACACATTTATATATGTACGCGATCTAACCCAAAAAAACCTCTATTATGGCAGAGCAATAAGTTAAGAGAATGTACACATACATGAAGCTAATACTGAAATCTATATAGATACATTGCAACTTTTAGATTAGTAGGCGTATCCCATATGTGTCTCTCCATATAACAATTAAAGTATATGTCTTACATAACCCGTTGGCTCTCAACAAACTTCTTTGAGTGCATCATTTCAGCACCATTAACTGCAGCACACGTAAACTCTGTACCGGTTACGAAATAACGTGGCATCGACAGTCAGGCTTGCTTGAATTAATGTTGATAAAGTGCCAGACGTTACAGGTAAGGACCCGACCTCTCATTAAGATACGGGGCCTGAGTTTGACGCAACATCATGTTATATGTGATGCATTTCATAACACCACGCTAACGATTACGTTGCGTTATGTATTAAAAAAGTTGTCATTCTGAACGGGAGGTAAATCATTGACAGTTCAGTCACCCTTTTGTTACGACATTCGTTGTGGTTTTCCACACGAGAAGCCGCTGTCACCTTCCGCACCAGGCACGGATCATCGAATTTGGCAACACAGGTTCGGTTTGTGCGATTTCGCGAATATAAGGCAAATCTATTTCTACCCAACCCCTACATGCGGTTTTAATTCACTCATATGCGATTCTTAGTTCGGACGAGGGATAACACATTCCTGCGGAGGGAGCTGGTAGGAACGTTGGGTTGCTCGGTCAATGGCCAGGGTCAACGGCGGCGTGGTGTATTCCGCAAATATGCCCGACTGTGAGGGCGGGCACAAGCCGGCGTGAGTAGGTTAAACGTTGAGTTTTATAAGGGCACCACGGGGTGACCAGCCCCTCCCCACCCAGCCCCACCCCCACCCAGCCCCACCCTCCCCACCCTCCCCTCCCCTCCCCACCCAGCCCCACCCTCCCCTCCCCACCCATTTTTTGATGCACGACGGACGGACGGACACAATAATCCCCTGTGGGCTGGTGGAACCAGGTGGTTCCTACCAGTAAGACGTGCCCTGTCTAAGCCCACGTTTCTAAACAGCGTGAATGATGTCATTAAGCCTGAGCATGTTCTCTCATGCACCTCGTATCATTTTGGCTTCTCAGCGTGATTGAACAAAATTGGTTCACCACATGTCTTGCACACTGCCCTTGCAAGGCGGATTAAACAATATAATTGTTTTGGAGCAGTGTTAAGCCACATTCATTCACGAGTGAAATCTGAAATGGATGCTGGGTCCTCCACCCACTTCACCAATCCGCACTGACACGCGTGGTGTAGGGTGACACTGCATTTTACTCCCAAAGGAGTGAATGCACAGTACTGTATTAGGAATACAACACAGTATGTGCTATGTGTGTTTAACTTCGTTCACACCGTACGTAGCCAACCGTGCCAATCGGACGTAAGAAGAAGGGACATTGGCTGAAAATTCAGCAAAATGTTTTTTTTTAATTTTAGGGCCCCAATGTTGACGAACGTATTGAGTGTTATGTTTGCTAACGTGTGCTTTACGACGTACAACGACTGCCAACGCGGCAGCAGCATCACCCACTTAATGTGTTTTTTTTATAATGGTTTATTCAGGTGACGTCATTGAGCCTTTCGGCTTACACGTGTCAGCGGTAGCACCTCGGTGACGTCACTGACGTGCATCCAATACGTGAGCGACGGATCTGCTCTGAATGTTCATGTCTTAAGTGATGTCTTAGCGTTGCGAGAGGCCCCTTGCAGAGGGCACCACGTGGGTACATAAGAGATGGGCACTTTTATTTTAGCAGGTAAGGCCCACTGAGCTATATTGCTCTTTTTCAGAAGCGACCTGGCCACAAATGATAGCACCAACGAAGTGGCTTATCACGTGGGAATGTATGGGAGTCAAATCCTCTCAACCCGTGTTTCTAAATCTGGAGGGGAAAATCGGCAGGACCCGGAGAAAAATCCACGCTATACCACGGGGAGAGGGAACATGCAAACTCCAATATACAGGCATCAGGCTCGGGATGGAATCCGCGACCAGGCACGGGAGTTAACAACTCGCCCTCTTGGTCGCGGTAAATTTTAAATGTTGGACCAATGTTGGTTCAACTACATGTCACATTGGGCCAACGTTGCACAATTCTTCGGCATGAACGCATCGATATCACCACGGTCACAATCATCGCCATGGTCATAAATGATCATGAATCATGGCCATCAATAATCAGATTCATTATGGTAATCAAGCATTATATCTGATCAGTATTCATCATGGTAATATTTAATCGACACAAATCATTACCATTCATCAATCAACGTTATCATTAATCATCAACAGCATCATCATGGTCATCAATGGCCGTACTGTACCGTATAAGTAGAATCAAATTATTCCCTGACGCTACAGCTGCATTGGCAGTGGTTCACAAGTACAATTAACAAAACAACTAAACCCATTCAAAAAATAACACTGTGGGACCTTAAAATAACAAAAAAATATGCGACGATAATTGTGCTTGTGCAGCACTGCCAATGCAGCAGCATCACCAAATGATACTCAGCTTTAAATAAAAAAATCATCTTGGTCTGTTGAGTACTCACAAATTATAATGTACTTATACTATATAGGAAATCCACTCATCCATATGACTATTGTGATGAGTGTCCTGCATTTGGTTTTTATTGTAAGATGTTTTCGACCAATTGACAATAAGTGTTTATACAATTGCTGCTTTTTTGCGTTTAGTTTGTTATCCTTCCCCCGCAGCTCCGAGTATCACGGCTCGCTACGTACGGTGCGAAAGAAATTCAACATACACACACGTGGGAGAAAACGCGCGAGGGGGCAACGCTGTATCCCCGTACAGATTGGAAACAGATGGCGATTGCTGCACGGCCTTCTTCTGGCGAGCAAGGGTATAGGTAACCACCTCGACGCCCACGCGCGAGGTCACCTGTGTGATCCACCAATCCTGGATGCCTTCACAGTGCTGGCTAACAGGCGTGCAAAGCCACCAGAACCCGGCTCACAAGCTTCAGAAATCAAAATGTGTTTATACTGGAGGAATCCGATGAGCTACGAAGCTCTTTATTCACAGATGTTCCAGTCGGGGTATTAAACAAACACGTTGGCGCACCTTCTTGGTTCTTTCGGTAAAGTCACGTAGAAGGGAAATAATAAAAATAAAACATAATAAAATATGTTCTATTTGCGTTTAGTTTATTTTATTATTTCCCTTCTACGTGACTTTACCGAAAGAACCAAGAAGATGAATCCCTGCAGTCACGAAAGCTTTAAATTGAATTTGGCGCACGTTTTATAATCGGGTGCACTCGGTACGGGCACGTGGAAGTTGTAACACGTGCGTTGCTCGATGACGTCACGTCGCCGCGGCTCAAGAACGTTCGTGACGTCACGCTCACGGAACGGCGCGGTGACGTCATGCGTGCCCAGCGCGCGATGACGTCACGCGCGCACGTTGCCGTCGTGGAGCGCGCTGTTCTGCGTGATGACGTCACTGGTCGCGCGTCGTGACGTCATCCAGTTAGGCCTGGCGCTCTCCGCTGACTTGGAAGTGTAAGAACGCTGCCTCTCTCGCTCGTCACAAAACAAGAGGTCGATTGAGAATAATCGCGATTAAAGTTATCGATCGAGCGGTCATCGCGTGCACGGCAACCGTGGCAATGACGCCGAGAGAATTGTTTACTTGCTGCGTTTACCGCGTGCCCGAGAGCCGTCGAGTTGTTTACGTCGGGCGCTAGGATAGGCCTTTATTTTGGGCCCCTGTGCATGCGAGTCGGTGGGGGCCATCGTCGTGCATAGCAGGTGCTATAGGCGTCTAGAGACGTTCGTTGTTGCGCCGTGCTTACTGCGCTCGTGTTGCCTCCGACAACAACAACAAGCCGCTCTCACCATCGCATCTCGCGTCGGTCGTCTTGTGCCTCGTTCATCGTCGTCGCTGCTGTTTGCAAGCGTTCGCGTCGACGCGGCCATTGGCAGAGACGAGAGCAAGAGTTGCTTTGCACATGCTGGCAAAGCGTTGCGTGAATTGTTGTTTGTTTTTTGTTAATTGTTAAACACGCGTGTAAATGCGGGAGCAGCAGACTTTGAAATGTTTTTTGGCAACTCTGGGCAAAGTCTATCTGCGATCCGCGCTGCGTGGGGGAAAGCCTTCATCCAGCAGTGTGGATTGGTAATTAATGCGTTTTAACGTTTAAAAAATGCGACGCAATCTAGACCCCCGCCGATGGCATTGACACAAACGTGTTTGGAACTGCGTGAGTCTCAGGCGCACCATTACGTTGATAGAGCAAGTAACTCGTGCAACTGGAAAGTTGTGGATGTGATGGCACGTCAACGTCATTTCGAGTGCCGTAATGATGCGCATGAAAGTGGCTTTAAGAGGTGTCTTTTTTTACCCTCGATCATGCTTCAAATCGCGTTGATACGTTGAACTGCCAACGTGTGTGACTGAGATCAAATTAAATATCGATTTAAAGCTTTCGTGACTGCAGGGATTCATCTTCTTGGTTCTTTCGGTAAAGTCACATAGAAGGGAAATAATAAAATAATATTTAATTTTATTATGTTTTATTATTTTACTATTTCCCTTCTACGTGACTTTACCGAAAGAACCAAGAAGATGAGATCAAATTGGCATCTTTATTGGGGTTCTGTTTTTAATCGCGAAGCAGCTCGCATTGTGATTTAATTGTCGATCTGTGCGCCGGATCTGTAGGGGGTAACTTTCAATAGCCATTGAGTCGATCGCCAGTAAAACAGATTTTACAGAGCAAATAATAAGCAGAAATACAGTATGTCTGTATAAATAAAATTAGGTTTCGGCTCATCAGTCGATTAGCTTTCCAGGCTAACATCAAGCAGGATTTGTTTAAGCAAGCAAATTCTGGTCCGATTTTCATACTGGGTCCCATCAGCAGATTAGGTCTTATAAATGTACTGTTGGGAATGTTATTGGCAAGAGTACTCCATGTGAAATATGGAACCCCATTCAACGCAAAAAAAGCTCGTGACCGTGAGTTTGTTCAATTTTACAGAGCGTTTATGGAATGAGCGAGCTCGTAATTTTTCTGTTGGCGGAGGAGTCGAGGCGAATACAATTGTGCACAACAATATAATTACATGTCGGCATTGTAATTCCTTTACTTAAGAATTGCACATTCCGTATTTCTATTGTCACGTTTAGGCATTGCGTCGTCAATTCCATGGTCACTTGAGGCCAATAAGTTCCGAATTTTGTTTCATTACAATGTATTACAGTAAAGACCTATACTTTTCTGTAATATATCCCGGGATACGCTGCATATGATAAGCTGAATCTATAGTGTATATGTTATCGGTAAGAAATGAAGCCATTATTAAATCCAGGAAGATATTGTTTGTTTTAATTGGTTCTACTAAAATCTTTACTCTCAAATTTGAAAGAAAAAACATTTAACAGTTGAATATTATACAGTAATAGGTTGCCAATAGCTTATTTGGGTCGAATACAGTTACGCACAAAGCTCTTATTAAACAAAGGGCGATCATTGTAATGTTTTTTTGTATTCTTTATGGAAGTACACAATGCTTTGTTGAGCACCCATTTGTTTCACTTCCGCTGTACTTTCCTCTCGCTCCAGTTGGTGTACAGCAGACACCAAAAACACAGGAAGAAGGCTGCTCCCTCCAAACTCAGCGTCATCCATCACTGAGAAGCACTTTGGAGGTGATTCTATGTCCAGTTCCTGGTAGAGTGATAAGGGACAAGGATTGTGGGAAAGAAGCACAGTTTGGCGGATCATCATGACCAGTGTTTGTATTTAATTTGGTTTCACACACAAGAATTGAGTGCTGAAATATTGAAAAATGTACTTAACATTAATTTTGCATGTTTAATCAACTGTCGTGGGGGTTCGTGTCCCATACTTAATGCCTGTCAGCTGTTAGCAAGCACCTTTAAAAGCTGGAACGGTACACGAGGCGGTGGGTGGCCAGCACCACGCCCGACCGCCTTTGTCTCCCCAGTGCCGATGTTTATTACGCACCACGCCAGGTACTCATTTGAGGCGGAGTCGACCTAGGGGAGGCCCAGGACCGGTTCAAATAATTGTCACTGGTGTTGGCCGTGAACAGGAATCTAACTCCTGTCGCCAGGTTCCGTAGCGCAGCGTGCTAACCACTACACTACCGCTCCCCACACACACAAGCACGCATATACACACATACACAGTAAATGACTCATGAAATACATTTTAAATGAAGAAAACTAGCAATAGAAACATGGTAAAATATAGTTCTAAGCAGATAAAATAAAGAATTACGTAATGCTACAAAAGGAAGATAATTATGTAACGCTTCAAACAAATACATTTACCTTAATTATATTGAACCTCGGGCTCGGTGAAGGCAGCATTTTGGTGTATTCATCTGCAACCTCACCGCGCTGCACTATTTGTGCTCGCGTAACTAACGCAAACATTTCCGCATGTTGAATTTTTTTGAACATGATTTAATGGGAGGATATCCGTAAATGGGGTCTTCTGTAACCCAGGGACTGCCTGTACTGGGCAACATTAGACTTTACTGCACTGCCCTTTGCTGCCTTGTGCATAGCCCCCCCCCCCCCCACAAGCCCTAGAACAACCGATTAGCGTGCTGGTTGCCCATCCAAGCACTATCCTGGCTCAAACCTGCTCGGTTTCCAATTTTTTATTTGACGCATTCTGGGTGTTATTTATGACCGGTGTTTATTTTATGATGTGTTACATGCGACAATTGTTGAAATATTTTTAAAATAAAGTTTAATTTACATGAAAGAGCAGTTATAAGTTGAAGGTATATATGTGCTCTGGAAACCTCATCTGATAACAGCTGCAGATATGTTTAATTTCTGCTTCTCACAGAAGTCGAAATTTGCCTGAATGTATCATTTTTGGGCTAATAGCCACTGCCACGCAATATGTGAGTTGGGTTTTAGCAGTATTTGCAGCTTTAAATCTTGTTTTAATGAACTGTGAGGCAGCATACCATAGTGGGTATAAAGCCCCGTTATTGATTTATTTCTCTGGTAAATATTTGATGGAGAATATTTTATGCAATCAGCTACAGCTCCAGTTCTTGTACCCCTTCATAATCAAGTTCGAATTTTATTTCATTTTCCGTTTTGACCAAATCTCTACAGACAATGTTTAAAATGGCACGTTAATGTATCGCTCATTATCGCGTGAATGCTTCTGGATAAATTCCCTTAGTGGTGCTGTTTAACTGTCCAATGTGTTTTTGAGTTCTACACAAAAACTAATGATTGCTAATGATTGGCAGACTTGACAGATGGCCTAAGTGTAGAGTCCTTGCTATTGTACCCATGGGGCTCATAGATCTAGTGTGCGTGCATTATAATTGCAGTTACTGTTAAATTACTTAATTAAAGACTACATGTGGTGTGTGGGCAGGCTGTTTGTGAAAACACAGCTGCTGTTTAAAGGACAGGGCACCTTCTGTATGCTGTCAGTGCTTTGCGTATGGTTGATGGTGACAGCCCCTTTGTGTATGTGTGTAGGTTGTGCAGTGTCACAGCGAGCTGTGAAGGCTGAGCAATGCCAAGGTCACGGTCAAAGTCCAGGTCCTCACGATCCAGATCGGGGTCAAGGTCATGGTCAAATTCCCGAAAGAAAAAGCACCGGTAAGTGGCAAATATGCTTTATGACCAATAATAGCCAAAGCAGTTATAGGGTTGGTGGATAACAGATTTGAGAACTCCCAAACACACACACTTGGCAAGGTGGCTAGGAGATATGGAAGTCCTGGAGAGAAATCGAGATTGTGATCCTGTTTGTGTGAACCGTTGAGGCTATTCACCTTGTATGTTTTTTTTACCAAGTAGACAAAATAAAATATTATAATTAAACGGATTTAGTTAAAGATCCCAATGGAGGTCCGTCCTGAAAAGTTATCCTGGATTAACTAATTGTATTATTGTGGGGCTTTCCAGACTCTACTTTATTATGCAGAGAAATGGGCTCTCGTTTAGTTTTATGTTTCAGTGACGTTGAGCTATTTTACAAAACAGATGTATCCCATGTTACCAACATCTGTTTTGCAAAACGAAGAATACGACCAATTTAGTGCAGGTAAGGTACACAATTTTACTAATTGATAATTTGCGATTCATGTAAATTTTGTGCATTTGTTACCTTTGGAATATTGGGAAAAACTGCAAACACAACAGACAATACAAACAAAGCAGTCAATGACTTGTAATTGTGACATTTAATTAAATAGATGTAGTGAATTGTTACGTGCCAAATGGAAAGTCTGCAATTCATGAACATTTTGCAGACACTGAATTCCACATTCACCATATTCACATACAAAATAACATTTCAATCGCAACATTTCACGGTACTGTGGAGGGAGTGAATCGTCGCTGTTGTAAATGACTAAGTTAAACCACTTTTGATCGAACCGGAAATTCTGCCGCTTGCATTGCTAGGTCTCGATCCAGGTCCTACTCGTCGGACCGTGAGCACAAGCACTACCATCACTACCAGGAGCACCACTATGGCCGCGGGCGCTTCCCACGACGGCCCTTCCAGCCCGGGCGTGGCCGCGGCTTTGGACGCGGTGCTCCGAGGCTCTTCCGCGGGCAGAACATGTTCCGCCTGCCCAGCTCGCGCTCGTACCACTACCACTCACGCTCGCGTTCCCGCTCGCGCTCCCCACGCTACCACCGCTCGCACGACCGCAAGCAGCGCTCTTCCTCGCCGCCCCCCAAGATCCCCGTGCCGCAAAAAAAGCATCAATTGCAACAGCACCAACTGCAACAGCAACAGCAGCAGCAGCCGCCACAGCAGGCCAGAGGACGGTCGTCACCGGAAGTTGCCACCAAGGGCAAGCCCGGTGCGCCAACCAAGCATCGGAAAAAGTCGGAGCGCCATTCGGAGCGAGTGAAAGGCACCAAAGGAAGAATTGTGCACGAGAAACCGCTGACGGTAGAGCCCGCCGAAGAGTTCCCTACCCACAAGGAGGCCCTAGATGAGGGCTATGGTGAGGAGGGTGGCCTGGAGGCATTTGAGTCGTCCGGCGACTTTGAGCAACGGGGCCGCTCGGCGTTGGCGGTGGCTAAGTCAAAGGCTCGCTGGCAGGTATCGCCCGGCAGGGAGAGGGCGGGAGCTCGGGGCGATGGCGCTGAACACGGGCCGCCTGGCTCAGCCGCCGCTGCATCTCCAAACAGGAACCCTGAGCGACGCCACCGCCGCCGCCACCGCCCCACAACGCCGGATCGCGGCAGGGATGGGCCCCGAGGCCACGGCGCAGAAGGTTCGGCCGAGAAGGCCGACATCGTGACGCGCAGCCCGCTGCGTTGCAGCCTTGATGGCGTGGGTCTCTCTGGCCTGTCCGTGGGACGAGCCGAAAAGTCGCCTCCGTTCCCTAAAAGGTATCATCGGACGCCCGCAGGCTGCTAGGGCCGCCGAGGCGTTAACAGGGAGAGTGGGAAAGAGAGAGAAAGCGAGCCTGCATGGTTCCACATTTACTTCCGTTGGAGCGGTTGGAATTGGTAGCGTTTGGAGAAAATTAGGTCAACTTCTTTAAGTCGGCACGCTCCTCCGTGATTCTTCACATGAGCAGCGGTGTTTGCTGATGGTCGCTCCCACAGCTGGATATGGCGTGGAGTCTCCTTCTGGAAAGGCCACGAATGCTTTTCCAGCATTGATGTCAAGCTTGGTCTAAAGGCTTGGCAAAGGAAGGCCACTCTTTCAAGAGGAAATATCACTTCTGAAGTAAATTTGAAACCAAAAAATCCAATTTGCATTTTTCATGAAATGTTTTTAACAAAACAAATTGGCTTAAATTTAAAACAAATTGGCTTAAATTATATTTGGGTTCACAGTTTTTCCAAAATCACACCTGAGTAAGTATATTAAAATTGGACCCAAATACCGAAATTAATTGGCAATTCGTGTCTAAATTGTTAATAAACAAACAGACAAGGCATCCAGAAGGTAAGGTCTAGTTTAATTTTATTTATTTTGGGTGAAGTTACTTATACTTGTTTAATCACTAATAGAACCACAAACGGATCATATCAGCATGTCATCTAGAAACCATTTGGTTTATAATACTTTTCAAGTCATCAAGAAAGATTAAAAGATACAAATTGTGTTGGCTTTATTTGTTTAAATTCCTGACATATAAGAAAGTAATGAAATGGAAATTCATTCATTTGCACAAGAAAGTGGCGGTATTTAAATCAGAAGGATTGTGAACAGCTTTGAGAAAAGTTCACTTTGAATAATTTATAAGACGCCTCGCATTGCAAATATCAAAACAGAAAAATTATATTTGAATGCAAACAAAGAAGAAACCGTGACATATTCAATCTCTGTGAAGGCAATGCTTTAAGCTTTGTTGTCTGACCATGAAGCTATCCAAAGTGTAACCTTCAAATTGAGAAAAAAATCCTTTTAAAAATAATACCATGCATATCACCTTCCAGAGATTTGATGGAGCGGATATGCAAGCAGAAGCTATGCATGATGGCTTTCTGTAATGCCTTTTCAAGTGCGTACACTTTTGTGCAAGGAGTGAATATTTTGAATGCTGTCGTCATCGGACATTACCAAGTGAACGATCACGCAAGGCATCCAAACAGCAACAAGCAATCAAGGCGCCGGTATCCTGATGCCATCGAAAACAATGACAGACATGGACACGTTTACTCCAAGCCAGCTTTTCAGATGAAATTGAAACTGCGTGTCGTGTCCAAGAGAACTCTTTAAGTGACAAGAAGTCGTGCGCTACTGAAGATCATGTGACATTCGTTATTTGTCGTTATTTATTTGGCTGGACTCGAACGCTGCTGGTGTCAAGTCATCGATGGACATACTCGACAGTCTCATTACTTTGTTATTGGAACATCAAAAAAGCCAACAAAAATGTGGACAACTCGGACAAAATGAGATATCGGGAGTTAAAGAGTTACCTTAAGCTGCGTCGAAGATGTGACGGAACACAACTGTTGAAATGTCTGCAGCTCATCGCATCCCTCGATTTTAAGCACCTTGATTCAAAGACTCGCTTATCAGAGTGTGCATCTGACTGCTAAGAGCCACTCCAAAGACCACACACAAGATGAGTTTCTGATACTCAAAATATATTTTTTTACATGCAATTATATATTATTTAAGCTCTGAGATACTTAAAATACCATTACATTGCAAGAATGAATCTCGATTTCAAATAATTTTTCATTGGCTACTACCAAATGTTCAACAACAGTAGCATAGTGCTGCCATCATAAAAACGCAGAAAACAAAAATGCAAGACGTAGTCCATGTCTTGGCCGGAAGTCCTGAGTGAGCGAGACGGACTGTAGAGAATGAAAATGAAGGTGGTGCCGAGTGATGCACAAGCTGAAATGGTGATTCACAGGCTGAAATGAAGAATTATTAAATGATGGAAGAGTGCTGTCGCGCCTAGTGCGTATGCAGTGTGATGTTGCAGCGAGTGGGTTATGCGCTCTAATGTGCTATGCCGGAGCAGGGATGTTTGCAGGCTTGTTTGTCGGGAAGGTGAGTTTGGTAAGATCTCTAAAGGACATTAAGAGGCCCTTGTAAATTGTGCCTCAAGTTAAACATGTATTGAAGCTGAAAAACACTTTGCCGCACTTGCAATTGTCGTTGAATATATTTTCTGTGCTGTTCGGGTTCAAGTTAATGTTTATATTGTGCATGAAAATTAATCTCGCCACTTCCCCCTTCTGACATGCGCCTCTGTCTGCTGACCGTGTGCGTGTCTGCTGCATGCACGTGGACATGCGTGTGTGAACATACTTGTGCGTGTCCGTTCCCGTTTGCACGTCTTGTGTACGTGCGGTCACGTGGGTGCGCTGGTTTGTGCGTGTGCGCGTGCTTTTGTCCGTCGTCAGGACGAGTTGCTTATTCCCCAGTGACCGTCAGCTTTCCGTTGACCTGGTGAAAGCTCGCAAAAAGAAGGATTCCAAAAAGAAAAAGAAGGGCGAAGAAAAAGAGTTTCGCTCCATTTTCGATCACATCCAGGCAAGTCATGCGACCCATGGTGTCATGCTGAGCAGAGGTCACCAGTACCAAAGTTGAAACAATGGGCAAGTTACTTAAATCCCCTCCCGGCCTTTGTCCACACAGCAGGGTAAATGGGGTACACCACAGTTTTGATCTGCAGGTTGTGTGTGGTGAAGTGTCGGTATTCTCAATTATTTCAAGATGTATGACCGGTGTGGAAGAGAGAGACAATATTTATTCGAGAGAGGCCATGTAGAGCTCTCCCTATTGTCGGCCCTACTGCCAGCAGTGTCGAGAGCAATCAATTTCATGGCCATTCCTCTACAACGCGAGTCGAGTGGCACTATCGCTATCCTGCATGCGATGCATGATGGATACAGACACAAAGCCTGGACCGTGTTGACCTACTCAGCCTCATTTGTGTGGAGTGTGTGTGGTAAAGTTCTTGTTTTTGTATTTTTTGTTTAGCACGATACAGCCAAATTGCGAGAGAAGAGCCCAGTGGAAACATTTGCCCAGCACATAGTCAGCCTGGTGCACCATGTCAAAGGTAGGTCTCCGACGCCTCCCCATGCTGATTCATTGATTGCTGGGTAACACATTCAAGCTTGTGTTTCATTCGGACAAAGCAATGCATTGTTGGATTAATATATGCTTCAGGCTCGTAATAAATGCATCAAATTGTGTAAGAATAAAGGTTTGTTTTATACATATAGGCTCATAAATGATATGAGCAAACAAAAATCGATAAGCTGGACAGAATGAATAAAAACAGTAAGGGATTCCTCTACTTACGAACATTAGACTTACAAACTTTCAGAGATACGAGCAAACCCGTCCATATGTTCAGTTGCCTGTTCGGACTGAGAGTCGTAAGTTCAACTACCCATAATAGATGGCAGGGGTGGCATCTACAGGAGCCATTCCTCGTGTTTAGTGTACATGCCGTACAGAATGTTTGGAATCGACAGGAGTAAAGTCGACTGACGAACAGACCTGTAACCTAACTCGTTCATAAGTAGAGAAATCCCTGTACAAATGAAAGTAAAAGTGAGTAAAAAACAATAGATTATTGAATAGAATTGTTATCAAGCACATGGTTAATTCAACGACTGGGCTTGTGTTACACTACTCAACATGTTCAGGGGCAATTTATAGTAAAGAAACTAGACGTGTAATGGTTATTGCATTGTCACCATATTCATGTAATTTATTCTGCCAGCAATATGTAGTATTACAATGTTATGATTTATATGAAACGCTGATAATTCCATTATAGTTGTCATCGACGACATACGGAGAAATGTGGAGCGATGTATGCTTGGGATTTTTTACTGAAAAGAGTGGACCACATGGATGAGGAGCAAATTAAAATTACAGGGGAGAATGTTGATAGATTAGCAGCCAAAAGTAGGGATTATGCCGGAAAGGTTTTTCCACCGCGGAGATGGAGCGATGTGAACAGTTCATGTGTAGGAATAGGATGGATTGCAAGAGATTCTTGAACCGCATCTCCGATTGTTTCCCCGATGCGCCCAAACGCAGAGCGAAAGTTCAAGCCGTCTGACGTGACGCTGAGTGAACGGTTTGCACGGGCCCAAGAGGAGGCCGGGGAGGAAACTCGAAAAAAGAAGAAAAGCCCCGAGATCCATAGGTGAGGTCTCGCAACCCAGCGCCAAAATATCTAAATCTAATCTTAACATAATCACGTAAACGTTATCATTTTTTGCACTAGACCTACATATATTGTAATCTAGATTTGATACGTTGGTGTTTTTAAAAAATCTTGTTTCACTCGCAACACAGGTTAATTTAGATCGATTGCACTTCACAAGCTGTTTTTCTTTTGCGGAAAAATGGATTGTGATGGGAAATGTGTTAATGAAATAACTGTTAGGTTAAAACATTGGAAGGTTATACTTATATGGCAAGATTAAATTTAACTGTGACGGTCCCACCTGAAGACGGAGACTTGTGTTGCCTCCGAAATGTCGTGATTTAATTGCGTTATTTTCATTTATTATTATTTTATTATTATTATTTACCTACGTGACTTTACCGAAAAAACCTAAGAGTATGGCAAGATAAAGTTGGAAATAACAGCTGAGTGAAAGCAAATCGTATACAAAGCACGTCCGCATCGTCACTCTGCAGGGTTTCTTCTTGAGCCTCTTGTGATATTGCCATTAGGAAGTCCGGTGTTGTGATTATTGGTGCTGATTGTGTCCTTCTGCTTGTGTGTGTGTGTGTACTATGTGGACAGGCGCATTGATATTTCACCACGTACCATAAAGCCACGGACACACACAGACGCGCACAGCAGGGAGAGCAGCCCGGGGGTGAGTGATGAGGATGGAGTGCGGCAAACAGTAAATACCTCATCTGTTTGTACATAAATTACCCCAGTTTCACATTTATCACCATACTTTGGTAAAATCCCTGGTTCTTTCATAAAACAGTTTTTTTTGTTAGATCGCATGAATATAAATGTGTCGATAAACCCGCCACCACCCGACAGACAATTATTAAGGTTTGTCATGTAAACAGAGCATGCCAATTTGTTAGTAGTACAGCACACCGGTGTGTTGTAGAGCAAATCAACAACATTTACAATCTGAGTACGACGTTTCGCCAGTAATTACAACTAGCATCATCGGGCAGACAGCCAGATTTCTGGAGAAATCCTCCTGTTTAGTTCCTTAAATTGAGGGATGGATAGGACAACGTCACTTATGAGTGACATCTTCTTTGTTTACACAGTGATTTGCCTATGATCTGACCCACCACTACTGGACATCTCTGAAAAAGAGCTTTATTGCTTATTAGATTCCTCCAGTATAAATAAAGATTGATTCAGATCTGATTCTGATCAAATCACCCAGAATGCACCCAATCTTGTCAGACCTCTGAAGCTCCCAGGGTTAAGCCCAGATGGGGCGCAGCGGTAACGAGATGTTAAATCCCTCGCCTGGTATGCAGGAGGTTGTTGGTTCAATCCCGACCCTGAAGCCGGTATATATTTGGAGTTTTGCACGTTCTCCCCGTGGTCGCGTGGATTGTTGTCTGGGTCCTCAGCTTTTTCCCTCCACATTTAGAAACATGCGTTTAGAGTATTTGGCTGATATACATTTCCACATGATACGCCACTTTGTTGACCTGTCATTTGTGGCCAGGTCGCTACTGAATAAGAGCTATATATCTCAGTGGGCCTTGGTAAAATAAAAATAGTTAATAGATAGTTGTTGGCCGGTGACTACCATGAACATCAGGTTGTCATAGGTGACAGTGGGGTTACGTTTTGGGTAGCATAGGGCAGAGCGGCAAAACCCATTGTTTTTCTTTGATTCGATGCTCCCCTTCCCCAACTGGCACTGCACAGCATGGTAGAATGTTGTTAAGTAACCCCCATGAACCGCAAAGGAAGGGGAAGCCATCATTCAGCAGTGGATTGACTAATTGGCTGTCGGTGTGCACGTAACCTTTTTGCCATTCCAATGAGTGCAGAGGAGTGTCTTATGTTTACACTCCTGAACCAGCCAGCGGTGGACATTTGACATTTTCACGGCAGCCAAGAGTTTATACGTTGATTTGACGCAAAGTCGTACAAAGTTGCACACCTCTTGTTGCTGTGATTTTTGGACAGACGGTTAATATGCAGTGTTGCTGCTACTGATGTGAAGGGGCAGGCGGAGGAGGAGATGAACAGAAACCCGGAGGACCTCCGCTATGACCTGGAGCGACGCAGGAAGGAGCGCAGCGACGAGCCAGAGTATTGGAGGGAGGGGAGCGAGGAGCACCACAACTACCGGTGTGTGAGGCGTGTGAGGAAGCAAGGACACACACAAAAGACTCCCCTAGTAGCCTTAACAGAGTGTTGGGGCAAGTGCTGTTGGCGAGCTCCTATGAGGGTCAACACAGTGCAAACGTGATCGTGGTGTGGTGAGTACCACAGTGCTGATATTTTATGCTTAACATTTTACTCATTTCATGCTGGGTCGACCTAGGGGATGCCTAGGACCAGTTGAGATATTTCTTACTGATATTAACCCGCATGTTTTGGACTATCCGTAAGTGTTTATCAGTCGCGTCCTCTCCCCCCACCCCATTACCCCTGAATTGTCAAGAGTTCATATGTGTGTGTGTGTGCTACAGGCCGCGTGAGCGATCCCGCTCCTACTCCCCGGGGAATGAGCCACATGATCACCATGATCACCATGATCACCATGATCCCCATGAGCCCCATGAGCCACCGTACGGACCCGGTGGCTTCGACAAATCCCGTCTCGGAAACAAGCCTTATTTTTTCAACCGTGGAAACTTCCGTGCCCGCCCGCCCTTCGTGAGTCACGCATTCATGTGACACCGCTCTACGGGACGTGGGAAACTCTTGAGTAATTTTTTGTTTATATCTTACGAGCATTTATTAACTCGTACAGTTTTCCTAAAGCCAGACTGTACCTTTCAGTAGTAAACAAATATAAATAAATTACAGCCCTCTTGTCAGTCCACTGCTGGAGGGAGGCATGCCCATGCTGTTAGGTCTGGGCTGTCATCTGACTATGCTTCACGCTAATCAGCGCAAGCGGGGTTGGTGATGTGGGAGGCCAGAACCGGCTCATGTCACTCGGCACTAATGTTAACCAATAGCTGAGAATCAAACTCAAACCGACTGGTTTGTATTGCAATGTGATTTAATATCTGTGCTACTATTGCACAAAACGAGATTTTTTAAAATCAAGATTCAATTAATGGAATGGTCTTGTGGTAAACCAAGGCAGGTTAATAAGCAGTTTTACTGATGCGTGGTTTTTGACCCTATGTTGCTGTTTGTGATTTTAAAAAGTATGTCTCTGCATTCAAACATGTGTTGGGTAGTAATCATCACTATCTGCTGTCCTCAACTAGTGGTATAAATTCCATATATTTATGAAAGGCCAGTTAATTCCATCGTACAATAGTTTTATACTTCCTTTGACGTGATAGTCAATTTATCGACTCTGGAAAGATAACGGATTGAGACAATCGTGACCAGATCTAAACTCTCATCCAATTGCAAGTTGAGCATTTTTCCTTAGTGCTACCTGACTGTAGACATGACCAGGGTTTATATGGCAGTGGTATCTGACGCACCACATTCATACCTCTCGCTATGGCTGTGGCTACTAATCACATGCCTGCTGTAGTCTACCAGCGACCCGCAAAACATTCAGAAAGACGAGCAGCCCGCACGTCCTTTGCACGTTGCGTACACAACTCTAACCCCCGGCGTGTCTACTCTCGCTCTTTTTGCCCATCAGCATTACCGCGGCCAATTCCGTGGGCAGTACCGTGGCCGCAGTAACTATTACAACAACAACAACTACAACAATAGCAACTACGCTGGTGGTGGTGGTGGCGGATATCACAGCGGTGGCCACCACAGCGAGGGTTACAACGAAGGCCACGGTGGGGGTGGCGGTGGCGGTGGCGGCGGCGGCGGCCCTCCTCCCTACGGTGGCCCCGGTTGGGGGTCGGGCTCCGGCGCCGGCTGGAGTGGCCAGGGCACCCATGGCTACCAGACCTTCCCACAGCGCCGCCCCCCCGAGGAGGAGTGGGACCCAGAATACACGCCTAAGAGCAAGAAGTACTTCCTGGTATGACAGTGGCAGCATGCAGGCAAATTTGTAAAAGTACCAATTTGTAACTTTAACGTGTTTTGTGCACTCTCAGAGAGAGAACATTATTCAGATGGACAGACCAGCGGGGAAGGTGGCCACAACCAGTGCCAGCAATTGCGCAAACTCTGGTGTTCTCCAATATTGGGATGTTTGGCCATTTGCATGAATAAATATTTACAGATGTGGGAGATAACTGGAGTAAAACCCACACAAGCAAACCCACACAAGCGAGTGGTGGCTAAACTCAATCCTTGTTACAGATGGAAAATAATCCAGCTCTGAAGGGATTAATTTATCTGAAAATGAGAGTTGAGGCACCATGAGGCTTTGCTGAATAACTGAATACAGTCAACTCTTGGTTATCTGTGATAATGGTGAAGAGAGGGGTTGGCGTGGATAAAATGAAACAGATGAAGCTCAGCATGTAAATTAGACCAGAAAAATATTATACAAGCACCGCCCCAGCATTTGCTGTGGGGGTGGGGCGGAAGGTCGGGGGGAGGCATAACGTCAGCCCGACACACGAACCCAGCTCGATGCTGAGGGATGCGGGTGATGTCACCGCGCAGATGTGTGTTATGTAGATATATTTTGATGTGGATTAAGACGTAGACTGTGTCTGTTTTAATTAAGGTTATTGGATTACTTGCCATGTGTTTGAGGACACTTGAGCACTGAGTGAGGAGACACTAATAACTAAACCAACACACGAGCATGAAGGCATATTTTTTTTCACAAGCACGGTTGATCTACAACTCGGATAATCCACTCATGATCCACTCATGGATTATCGAGAGTTTAATTAACATACTTAATGTTATTACTGCTAAAGTTTTTGTAGTTGTGCAGTATGGCTCTTCTCTTCTAGCGCTACAGTAAACCCATGTTAATTAAACCCATATGGGGCTCTAGCCTTGCCGAAATATCCAGTATTCCAAATTATGTACAATGGTACCCCCTAGTGCCTCCTGCCCCAATAAAACATAAATAACTCCAAATTAGTTTTCCAAACTCTTTACACACCATACGCGTTGACACGCCTGCATCAATTCTATCCAACACTTTGGATTTGTCTCGCAGACTAAGGGATTTATACTTTGGTCCCTTTCTATTACTTCTTGATGTAGGTGTAGATGCCATTTCTAAGAGGGTTGGCATGCACACAGTACATAAACAAGGTAAAGTCCAATGCAACAGGTCTGCACTAACGCTCACCATGCACGCCGCCACCAGAATGAGTCATTGTTTTGGTCGTGGCGCGCGGCGTCGCAACACTTGTATGCCGAAATTGGAAAATTTGGTACGACAATTTGGCTCGTGGCGAATTACTAATACTGTGTATATGCCAAGAGCGCGGCCGTGCCGAATTATCCTCAATGACAAATGATCGAATACCGAAATAACGAGGTTTTACTGCATGTTGAAATGTTTGTGCTGTACCGCATGTTTTTAGGCGTAAACGTCCGACCTTTCGCTCCGTGCGCTTGTCGGTTTCTCATTGACCTGCGTGCAACTTGCACTTTGACGGTGAGCTCACACCGTTGGTCTCCCCGCCCTCCCCGCCGCAGCATGACGATCGCGACGAGCGCGAGGAGGACGGGCACTGGGGGCGGCGCCCGCGTGCACGCGGCTTCTTCCCGCGGGGCGCGCGAGGCCGCCCGTGGCACCGGCCCGGGGACAGCCCCGTGTGGACGCACGACAAATACGAGGTCAGCGACGATGAGGACGACAACAACGACAACGAGGGCGCCGGCGGCACGAGCGACGCGCCCAGCGACGCCGCAGCCACTACCACCACGACCAGCGGCGGTGGTGCCCCTGACAAGGTGAAGTGAACACTTCTACCCCCACCCACCTTTGATGCCCACGGGAAGGGAGTCTCGCAATATTTTGTCGTTTGTGCGGTGATCCCCGCCAACCCTCGGCTACCCACAGTGCTGGGTTACAGGCGTGCGCCACCACCCCTTCCCCCCCCCCCCCCCCCCCCGAGTTCTTAAAAACTTTGCTTTGTTCAAGAAATCTATTTAATCTTATATATTATACATTTAATAGTGCTGTTCTTTGCTGGCCGCTTGGCGTGTTTGGTCTTTGGTCCTGTGCTCAGCAGTTGCGGTTAAAGCAACAAAAAAAAGTTGACAATGCCGGCTGTAGGATTGCAGCACCGCATTGTAACAGCGTTACTTTTTATTTCACAGGAGCAGCAACCCAGTGAATCAATGGACAAGTAGCAGTGCAGGCAAGGCAATGTCATCACCACAGCTGACTTGGGGTGCCTTGTCACTGCAGCCCTGAGGCTTGGGCTTGGCGGATCTCGAGGAAATGGGATTGTCGTTGCTGTGTTGTGCCTAGATTGCTGGTCTGTGTTCCAGCACAGCCACCTGTGGTTGTGTGTAATGTATCTCTGTGAGGTGTGTTTCTTTGTGCTGTTTGTATGTGTTTGTGTGTGCCTTTGTATTTGTGTGTCTGTGCGTGTGGTGTTTTGAGGGAGGTACAAACCTAAGAATGCAACTGAACAGCTATTTCATAGGTAAAACATCACCTTTCCAACAATAGAAAAAGAATGTTTTATTCGGAAAGATGTCTGAATATATTAAAACCTGGCTTTGAGGCAGCAATGGCTATCTTAACAAAAGCAAACATACACACAAAATCTTTCCACTTGTAAAATTAGCTGATTGACACTATTTTACAAATTACTCCACGAGAGAACGGTGATAATGTGGGTATGTGTGTTTTTGTTTTAAAGCGCTGCTGATAATCATAGTTGGCAGAGCATTAACGGTGATATGTGTGTTGGGCATCCGAACGCATCGCTCGTGCTGACGATTCTCAGCCGGCGAATCAAATGCCGGCACTTGGCTCTGCAGTGGGCGATGACAGCGCGCGGGGCGAGATGGGCGTACGGTAACGTAAGTGTCCCCTTCGGCCACTTGGCTGTGCGCGCGTGTCGGCAACATTATCGTTATCGTCTGGCGATTACAGCCAATGTTGCCACTACGAGTGTGAGCGAGCGGTGAGGCATAATGTAGTTGCATCATGTGGTATCGCGCTTTTTTGCTGCACCCGCTGCCAAATGTAGGAGTAGGGTCAATAGGTGAATATAACCCTCCCACCCCTTATGGTTTTGTACATGCTCCATGGGTTTTGCACATTTTGCATTCGTTTATAGGCCCGAAGAGATATTTTCGAGCATTGGCTTGGACCGAGTAAAATATTCCTTGTCAACTTCGTTTACCTTTTTAAACGATTACTGCTTGTATGACCGACAGCGTTTAATATTGGTAATGGCAGTGGATTTTTAAAGTGTGCCTGCACTCAAGTTGGTGTTTTTAGGAGAGGAAAACATGTGCATTCCAGTCTCTCATATGGGCACTGTCGGGCATTGTACTGGCTGAACAGGGCTCTGTTGTGCATGTGGATCCCAACACACTTGTTTTCTCACAGTAACGTTAAAACCGCCGATTAAATTGTGAATAACGGCCCTCGTTCAAATCTAGACTTAAAGCTTTCGTGACTGCAGGAATTCGTATTCTTGGGTCTTTCGGTAAAGTCACTTAGATATTTTCTTTGAACCTATCTACGTGACTTTACCGAAAGAACCAAGAATATGGCCTCGTTCATTTGTAACAATGCATGTTTGACTTACATGCGCTTCTACGAAGTGTGGCTTTCAGGAACTAATCGTTTGGCTTTTATTTTTATTTTGAGAGTTTAACAATTGCAAGCCACTTGTTCCAAAAGAACTCCTCAAATGCCTTTGAGCTCTATCAGGATGCTCATCTCCTTGAAGCATTGAGCCAGTTGTGGAAATTCCATATTCCGATGATGAGAGCAAGTCTATCCATAGAGCAGCCGCTTGACTTCCCCATAAAGTGGGCTGAGTCAACCCCTCAACTGGGATTTGAACCCATAACCTTTTGATTGCGAGCCGATGGCTCTACCGCTGAGCCACCAGGTCGTATAATACAATTTTATTACGGTTGAAGAGAGCATTAGTGGATTTAAAGAGCTACTTGCCACATCGCCTCGACCATAACCCATCTCGCGCTTTGCTTATCTGCCAGAGACGGGAAACCACAGTGGTTTACGGACCTTACTAATCTCTCACCTCTGTCGCTTAACCCACTATGACATGAGCAAGTTAAAGAAACCTGTTCATCCACCGAGTATTTAACTGCCAGCATGTGCTTAATTTGCCATTCTGTCGGGTCGTGCTTCTTCAAAGGTTTTGTGTCGTCCATGCTCCGCTGATGCTCGTATGAATCCTTAACCAAAACGTTTAACATTCTTTTGATTTATTTGGTAATTTGGTGCAACGGTGAAGTGTTTTTGAAGGGAGACAAAAAAGTTGCGTCCTTTTTTTTGTTTGAAATTAAACAGTTGTTTAAGAAAAATAAAATATACATATATAAGCTAATGCAAATGCCTCATTTGTCTCATTCATTTGCGCACTTCACATTTACCTTCATGTTTTTAAAGTGTGAACAACCACAATGCTCAGCCGTCCGTAGCTTAAAATCTATTCAATTGATTCATTTGTCAGCACAGAACTGATTAGTAAAATGCATTCATTGGATAAGGGACAACTTTGGAATTAGCACTGTTACACGTATATCTCTTTATATGTAGTGTGTAAGTAGATACTAACATCGCTAGATGAATTTATTACGTGATTAGGCGATAGGTATTGCTGCCACATCATTTTAAGTCGGGCTGCAGCAAATATAACCACCAGGGGACGGTGTTCCCTCGTCTGTCGCAGCCAAGGAGGTGGTGGTGGTAGGGGGAGGCGTCTTTTGTACATTCACGTAGTGGGGTCGAGTTATTCAAGCAAAAATTAGTTTTTTCCTTCTTTGGAAGTGTTTTTTCTTCTTCAAAAACGACATCAGGAACATAAAAATATACCTCCGGTCTCAACGCAGCATCCACAAACATTCAAGAGCGTCATGGAAGGAAATGCTAGAATACAGTTGCTTTCCCCCCATTCAAATGTTGTTAAAGACAATTTAATGCATTCAATATCATATTTAGACCAAGAGTCTTTCTCGCTGAATTTTAGCTGATCGGGCAAGTTGTTGACGTGGCGAGCAGACCTCGCCATTGGCATTTAGCTCGTGAACATCTTTCGTGACTTTACCGAAAGAACCAAAGAATAATTCCTGCAGTCACGAAAGCTCCAACATTAAGACATCTTTCCGCAGTCAACAATTGCATGCACTGCTTAACGAGGACCTTCCCATGCCGCCTTGATGGCATTGAAAGGCTATCGAGCGTATGCCTTCCCATGCCTTGTTGCAATGAAAGATGATTGACCATACTTCACGCAGGTCAGTGCAGGTTGGTGAAGATGAGTGCAGGAAAACGTCCACTGCCTATTGCACGTGTTGTTTGCGCATGGTGTGAATGGCTTCAAACACGGTACAGGCTCAACTCTGCTCAACTTACGAGAGCAGGTGCATACCAATGTGATTTGGACATCGGTGGGTGTGTAAAACGTTCTTATAGTGTTGATGCAACTAGCTTCTCTGTGACAAAAACTATCCAAATGTATAACCAAAAACAGCAGCAAAGATTGATTTTAATAATGTTACTCCTGCTAACATGGAAAACGTAAAAGAAACATTGACCATTTATGTTTTGTTTACTTGATAAAAAAAAACACATTTAAGTTCATGCTGGCCATGTAATTATTAAGCTCGGTGCACGAGAAAACCTCAAAATCAACCCTGGAGCATGATTGGTGGGGGGGGGGGGGCATCCGTCAGTGTTACAGTTTGAACATTTTGACTCAATTTAGGTGGGAGGGGAGAGCAAGGCCTTAGTACCACGTACATGAACAACAATTGACTAAATGTGGTATTTCTAGAAGACGACACGTTTTTTTGGTCTTCCTGTGGGCAAAGCAACCGAGTAAATCTTGCCGATCGTGGCAGAAACCCTGACCCGAGTGAATATGGAACTTTGGGGCCCAACATTGGCCAACGTGCAATGGTTCGAACCACATGCCAACCAACGGTGGCCAAACGTTGGGACGTTTTCTGTGTTAGTTCCTCTCCGCTGCTACGCTCGTGCATAGCGTCTGAAATGAAGGCAACCCATGTCGCAAAGTGCGACCGGGGCGAGTTGGAGGACCTCCCATATATCATACTGTATGTGTAAATGTCAGAATAGATAATCACACTTACGGGGTTAAATGCTTGTTTAGATTATTTGGCTGATAGAAATGTCCACGTGATGAGCCACTTCGTTGAGCTATCATTTGTGGCCATGTCGCTTCTGCAAGAGAAGCTATTAGCTCAGTGGGATTGACATGCTAAAATAAAAAGGTTTTTTTTTATTGATTTTCTTACCTTTCCGATATTTTGCACTCGTATCGTGTTTTATATTGTTGTAACTTCCTCACCCGCCCCTACTGGACTTCTGTGACAAAGAGTTTAATATCTCAGGGGCCGTCCAAAAATTGCGTTACGCACCTAGGGGGGGGGGGGGGGTCAGACATTTGTGACGATGTGTGATGAGGGGGGGGGGGAGAAATGTGACGTCACATCAAAATGCGCAACTTTAAATAAATATAGACAACACGTTCTACTTAATTAAATATACTTTTTTTAATAAATGTTTTCTCCTACAACATCAGAGTGCAGCGCCACATTAAATACGCACTACAATGATAATAGTTTAAAGCGATTTGAAGCATGTTTTATTTTTGTGGGGGGGGGGGGGGCAGAGCTTTGTGACGTCACATTTGAGGGGGGTCTGACTTTTTGTGACGCCGTGTGACGAAGGGGGGGCGGTCAAAAATCGTCAAAAAACGTCTAAAATCGCGTGACGTCATTTATGGACGGCCCCTCATGGGATTTATCCAGTATAAATAAAGATTCTGATTCTGAAATGCCTTGTAAAACAATAACATCCTATGGCAACTGTCAGAGTATGCGAACGGATGCATGCTGTCGTCTTGATTTGTAATACAATCTTAATAAGAGTACTGTAATCTTAAAAACTACATTACATACATCAGCATATAGTAGCAGCTTGTGAATGTTACGCCACCATTTGGACGTGTATCTCATCTACCGCCATATCTGAAGGCAATGTACAATAACAACCGCCGTTCACTAGTCAGTGACGATGGCGTCACCACGGCGCTTGTACCAGGCTAGGTGCACCTTGCGGCCACGTGAAGTGTCGAAGGCTCGCTGCTGGCCGCTCACGGGACATACCCAGGTGCCATGGGTTAATTGAGATGACTGGCAGATGGACCACCCGTGCAATGTACGAGGCAAACATCCCCCGTATGGCCTCAACATACTTTTAGGGCAAGTGCTGTTAGCAAGCACCTGTGAAGGTCAGGACGACACCGCATCCGGCTGCCTTCATACAAAGTGTGACACGTGTATTGTATGGAGCAGTGGAGCCCCCCAACACGTGGTCAACAAGGTCGTGGGGAATGGCCAACGGATTGCCTTCATACAACTGCTGTAAAAAAATAAACAGGCGACGTTTCGAGCAGCAGCCTTTCGTGCTACGCGTTGGCAGTGATGCACAAGCACAACATACCGTGACAAAAACAAAATCTCAACAGGTTCGTCAATAACAGGGCCTTAAAATGAAGGTCCATTGCCCGAGATGTCACCGATTATATATAAGTTGGTGCATCTGCCAGGCACTTGGGTCTGTTCGATGATCTGTCAATGAGCCCTTCGACACTTCAGGTGGCCTCAAAGTGCACCTGGCCTGGCACAAGCGCGTGGTGAGATCACCAGCCACAGTTGTTGTTCGTAGAAACATCTGCGGGGATTTAAAACTTTCAGGCTGGCCTGGCTACTATCCCATCCTTGGGTTAACCAGGCTTGTTTGTGTGAGCTCACAGATTCTTGAAAGATCTGGACAAAGTCCCACCGGTGAGCTCCTCCGGCAGGCGAGGCTGCGTTGGCTGGGGTCATGTAGCCCGCATGCCCAGCCACCCCATGCCCAAACAGCTTCTGTATGTTTCTAGATTTGAAGTTTTCGTGACTGCAAGGATTCATACTCTGGTTTTTTCGGTAAAGTCACGTAGCTTCTGTTTGGCCGGATAGAGGTGGCTAAACGGCCACGGCATGGGCTTGAGAAGAGATGGAGCTGATGATGGCTTAGTGGGTGAGTGTGTGGGTGAGTGGGTGGATGGGTGAGTGAGTGACACGGGTTGGAAAAGAGATGGAGTGATGTGGTACAGGAGGATGTGGAGCTGAGTGGACTTGCTGATGACCGGTACCAGCGGTGTCAAGATCGGCCTCTGTGGAGGGAGGAGGCTCGTGAAGGACGCTGCTACTGGGCAGTTGGAGGCAGTCGCCCTCCAGCAACAACGGAGGGACAGAGGAGCGACGCTCACAACAACGAGCGGAACGCCGGGCGGTTAAAACGGAGCAAGTTGGCAAAGTAGGGGGCACAGGTGATGCATCTGCTGCCAGTCATCTACAGTCAGTCGACCCATGGCACCTGGATCTGTCCCGAGACCTCCTGTCAGCTGCGAGCATTCGACACTTCACGTGGCCTCGGAGTGCACCTAGCCTGGCACAAGCGTCGTGGTGAACAAAAGTTGTTGTTGTTGTGTGGTGGATGGGGGAAGTGGAGGGGGAAGTGGAGGGGGGGGTGGAGGGGGAGGGGCGGGGTTTGGGTGGGGCAGGTAGAAGTGGGCGGGGCCAAGGAATGCGAAATCTCGCGAGAAGTGGCGGAAGTCGCGCGAGAGGACGCGCCTATTGGTGACGCCCACCGTCGCCGCCTGTATTGCCACAGCGACAACTGTGATTATTGCTTCTCTTCTGTGTAACGTTAGCCGCACTCACTGTACCGTCTTGCTGGTGTTTAACTTTCGCGGTCACGTCTCTCGCCCTTGGAGCTGAGCGAAGCATGGGTAAGTCTCGACCACGCGTTCGGGATTTGGTGGTTGGGGGGAAGGTTTGAGGTGTCGCTTTCCTCGGCCGGCAGGAGGCGAGTGAAGCTCGGCCAGGCGTCTTAGGCGAGACCGAGGCTTCCTGTTGGACCCCGAGAAAAGTAGGCCCGAGCGGCGTGGATGCTGGAAACGCGAAATTAATCGGTGCCTCCGCGTGTCTGGTGGGCGTGTGAGTAGATTTTAACCTGCGAGGTGACGAGACTAAGGGCAGATTAATAGAAGCGATGTCTTCGACAGTGTGTGTGTTATCCAGTGTCGTTTTAACAGCGGGGCTCTTTTGCCATTGCGTTCAATCGGGGCTCCTTAATCTGTGCACTGGTAACGGTGCGATCGCGTTCTGTTTGCCTAACGCAGCACACGAATTCATGCACAGGATGCCAACATGCATTAAACGCACACAGTCTGACGGGCACATGCGCATATACAACAGACTCAACCCACACTAACGCAGACACACAAAAAACGTATACACACAACACTTGGGACTGACACACAGGCACACGGACAAACACATGGACATACCAGCAATATAGACACACGGACAAATCGGCATAGACACACATACAGCCTTGCATATACCGCACATGAAACACTCGTCAACACACATGAACGTAGCATGAATAGACTGAATGCCGAAACAGTGTCAACCAGAATCACCCACGGCCGCCTTTGCCTCTGCAGTGTTAATCTCAACAAACGAGGCACCTTACATATGACACGAGTTAACCAAGGAAAGGTCAGGGCCGGTTATAATATCACTTGCCACCGCTGTTGACCTTTCGTCGGCATTTCAATTCAGGTGACCGGGTTCTTTGCGGATTGTGTACTAACCACCGCACCACTTTTCCCCACTAACGCGCTCGCATTACGCCAAGGTGCTGTTTCGTTATGACAATGGGCTTGCAATCCCAGATGTCGATTGTCTCTCTTGAGCGTCAGTAGAAACAATAGGGCAAGCTTCTTAAATATTTCCGCCTCTCCACCCAGCAATAACAATCCAGGACGTGTGTGGTGGGGTTTAAAGTGTGTATAGGAGATGCTAACTACATCGCCTGGTATGGAGGAGGTCGTGGTTTTCAATCCAGACCATGACGCCTCCTGCTGCTGCTGTATATTTGGAGTTTGTGTGTCTCTCTCCCCGTGGCCGCTTGGATTTTTCTCCTGGTCCTCTTTTTTTCCCTCTCCACGTTTAGAAACGACGTGCGTTTTAGAGTAATCTGCCGCTATACATTTCTACACGATAAACCACTTCGTTGAGCTATCATTTGTGGCCAGGTCGCTTCTGGAAAAGGGCTGTTATATAGTTTAGTGGGCCTTACCTGGTAAAATAAAATAAATGTATTGCTTAGTTTCTTCGAAGACGTCTGGCCAGCGTGGAAGAGAATATAATCTCTCAAATCTAGAAATAATATACTCTGTTCTCTAAAGCTGCCTCCAGTAGAGGGCCTTCCGTCGGCAGGGGCATAAGCAAAGCAGACAATTGTAGGTCCACACCTTTACCTTTGAACTGAGAATCAAGGGCAAAAATTATACCACGAGGAGACTGATCTAGGCCGTCGTGCCGTTTGAGCGCTGGTGCATGGCAATCGGTGTGCATTCGTAACAAAAAAAATTGGAAATGACTATCGACTGTTGACTTTAAGAAACCGCGAATCGATTCTGAAATCGGTTACCGATGTACCTGCCATCGTCGTTTGGAAACGCTAATGTAGATACAGATACCCGCACGAATATACCCACACAACACACAGACGCACATGTCTTTGTTGAACCGTAGCTTGAATGGAATGTATTACATTTACTCCAGCAACATCATTACCTTCGGTTACGATAAGCTGCTGCTTAAAACGGCATTAAACAATGTATACAGCCTGTGTAGTATAATCATAATTTTGTTAATTGACATTGGTCTTCCTTTGGAATATCTGACCCCTGCCATAGCAATGTGTAATTTCCGTCTCTGCCTCAACTGAGATGAGCTCCACTTCAGTGGTCTTTTCAGTGCGGGGATGCCACTTTTGTGGTAACGAATATAAATCTTTGTGTTTTAACCGTGTTATACTGTGTGCAGGTAGGAAGCGTGGATCATAAACACGGACATTAAACAAAGCAATGGAACAAAAACTGAACAGGTGCACAAAGAATCACGGTGCATCCTCGGAATGACATTGAGAGGCAGAAAGAGGAACTCGTGGCTTAGACAACGTACGCATGTCAATGGCAATTCAAACTTTGTAAGAAAAAGTCAGCGCACTTGGGCAGGGCAATTTCGCCGGAAGCGATGAACACTGACGGTTAAGCAAAGTGACAAAGAGTGGCAGCCGAATGGATATAATTCATGCGCTGAAGAGATGGAACCATTACATTATTTCTTGCGCAGGTGTGTGAGGTGGATTTTTTGTTTACATTGCAGGATTGTGAGAAATGGTGACGGCTTGGGGGGGGGGGGCCTTCATCCAGCGGTGAATTAATTATGATGATGCTATGGATTTGTCTGCAATGTTGTCTTGCTACCTGCAACAGCCCAGCAGCAACCTACAAAATGTGACGTGTGGTGACCACCCATGAAAGCATTATTCATGCTCAAACTTGCTTAGTTTTCAAGATGTGAAGAGGGTCTGGTGAATTCCGGGTGATTTGGTCTTGAATCTTGTGTACAGTATGCAGTACTATATACACTAGTTGTAAATACCGTACTACAGTCCACACTGCATATATACAGCACTGTGTAAATCCACTCTTTTTACACTGGGCATACACGACAAATTCATTATGTACTGTCATGTGTATCGATTTGTTCCTTTCGTGTAAATATATATATACAGGTGACTTCATAAGAATACCATGTACTGTGCTCTCTGAATGAACGATAAAAGAAAGAATTCACCAGAACGTGGCAACACGGCCTTATGGAGGAACACATCCGATGCCTGGAATGGTGTTTGAACAGTGGAACAGGGCGCGCCATTGACTGGTGCACCATCACACGACCGTGTTTGGATGAGCGATCGCTTGGTTGGTGGTGTCATGCCTTCCTCCCTGATCATGTTGCATGTTTGCTTTTGTTATTGAGCGACCTATCCATATGTAGTTCCTCTAGTTTGTGTGTGGCCATGTTTGTGTGTGTTTTTTGTCCGCGCATTTTATAAATCCATCATGCAGCAGACTTCTGTTGGCTCAAAAACCCTTTGGCGTTCAGCGGCTGTGTTGTTGAAAACCCTATGTAGGGGTGTACATATATAATATTAATGTGGTTTTCAATATATATATTTACATACCACATATAGCCATTGACCAAACTGCCTGGTTTGCGCCCAGTCTCGCCAGACCACAGATCTAAGCAGGCATGAGCCCGAATCATATTTGGATGAGTAATCACGATGCACAAATCAGGTGTCGAAAACAGCACTGTTGCACTGTACTCCTCTGTCTTTACTTCTGTGTTCCCCATTTATCACCTAGGCATAATTGACCAGTGCGGTTGACGAATGTTCAAATAATGCTCACGACCCGCATGGTTGTGAGTAGGTCATCCAGTCGTGGATTGACAAAAGGGCTGTACACACACATACATGTACAATGTATAATCACTTGTCGCAAAGAAAACACTTTTTGAACACCCTTGCCTCTCTTAGACTTTAAATGTCAAGTCAGACACCGGCTTAAAGCTTTCGTGACTGCAGGAATTCATCTGTTTCGGGGCTTTCGGTAAAGTCGCGTAGATAGGTTCAAAGAAAATAACAAAAAACTAAAACTACGACCTTTTTTGTTATTTTCTTTTAACCTATCCACGTGACTTTACCGAAAGACCCAAAGAATATCAGACACTGGCCTTGATCATTATTTCAGTCGTTCGCATGTGTGACCAAACCTCCTGAGACCCTTAGTTCTGCCCTCCCCTCGAACGTGCCAGCCAATAGTATCCCGGCTGTAGCCCCATGGGTTACATTCCTATGGCAGGGGGCATGCTATTGGACAGTTGTTGAAAAGCATGGGTGCGCCAAATCATGTCAAGTTATTCAAGTGCAGAGCACCCCGTTCTTATCAGATACAAGTATTTTATGTTTTCCTCTCTGATTTTTGTGCCCGTGTGCATAGGCAAAGTGCACGTGTGTATATAAAAATAAACGATAAAACATGCCACTTATTAAGGTCCCAAAATAACCCAGCCACAAACAAATGCCTCTTTAAGCTCTATTCTCGTCGTGGCTTAATCTGCATGTGTGCTGCCTGTGATTGGGCTCACAATGAGGCCCTGTTAGTGCCGCGGTGCAGTGGAACGGGGGCTTATTTGCTCTGCAGGTGACGCTGGCGCGCAATGGCTTATTCCCCTTGTGAATGGGCATCGTGCCGTTGACATGAGCAAACAGTTTTTTTTTTTTATATCGCAGCCGATGGCGGTGAAACTACTGCTGAACGTCTCCAAGCGCGATGGCAACGCGGCCCCCACCGGATTGTTAATGCTTCTCAGCGAATGACAAAGGGACCATTTATCCGTGTTTTCCGCAGGACACGAGTGTAGATCAGGCTCGGTGAGAGCAGCGTTGTTGACACCAATTGCTCCCGGAGCGCAAACGAGCCTGGGGTCAGCGCATGCGTCTCCTACCCTCGTCCGTCGCTCGTTCAGCCCGTAGCCTTTTTGCTCTCGAGCCGCCGTCCTAATTGACTTGACGTAATTAAACTGGAACATGGAAACTTTATACAACCAACCGTGACACCCAGCTCCGCTGTCCCTTTCAAATGCGTTTAAATGTTACACGAGCCACTCGTCTGTAGATCTGACCTGGACCGTGCGTGTGCCATAGTAATCCAGACTGACTAGTCATTGCAATACTGATGCTCTTTACCCAAGAGAGCCTGCAATGATTCTTAAGACTTCTTCAGGAGGATGCTGCATTCGGATATTTAGTAATTTCCTTGTGGAAAGGAAAGCAGAGTACCTGGGTAAAACCTTCGCATCATGACAGGACGCATCATGACAGGACCGCATTCAAAGCTTCTCACATAGAGGTGGCCACATGAAGCCACTTATTGTACTGCCATCTCCTGGCCAGGTCACTGCCCTTAAGAGAAGCCTTAAAATTAATGAGGTACACCAACCCTTGCCTCCAAGTACTTATCACAGGCACCACCACGCCCAGCACAGAGTATTTGTTTGAATTATTGTTTCAATGTGCCTGACACTTTGTGCGATATTTTTTTATGAATCCGATACGTTAACTGTTCGCTGAAACGTGTTTCCTCATGCGGCCCAAAGTGAGCTTGATTGTCTAAGCTATGTAGAAGTCAGATTAATTGTGGTGGGTGAATCCCAAGTTGTTATCCCTTTCCTGTGGTGCAGTGGTGGTAAAATTTTAATCGGGAGCCATGTGTCCCTGTGTAAGTAACTCGGTTTCTGGTGTATTGTGAGGCAGGGGCTTGCAGCAGTTTTTGTCTCCACCTGATGAGGCGACCCCCAGGTATTAGTTAATCCTCTTCATCCCCTATGGGACATAAGGCCGCAATGAGTTCCCTCCACTTCTTCCTCTTCTTGGCAACATGTTGAGCCTCGCCCCAAGTGAGGTTGATCGCTGCCACCAGCTTGGCCTTCACGGTCTTGCGCCAGGGTGGTCTCCCGGGTTTTCGTTTTGCCCTGTGGTGTCCATCTTAGGGCCATTCTTGGTATACGGTCCTGGTCCATTCTGAGGACATGTCCGAGCCATCTGAGTCGCCGTCTCTTGATGTCTTCTGTGATGTTAGGACAACCGGTCTCCTTGTTCAGTTCTGCGTTTTGGATTATGTTTGGCCAGAAGATGCAGCAGATTTTCCTGAGGCGTCTGTTATGGAAGGACTCCATCCTCTTCATGCACCCCCAGGTATACCCTGCCTGAAATTAGATCCCCAGGCCTGTGAGCCATGAGGTATGCAGTGTCTTCAACCTGCCTTCCCCCCATTGTGCGTGTACTGGCTTTCAACCGATAACAACCACGTACATTGGGTGTGGTAGCAGCAGCCCCCATGCCTGTCATTCACTGCTTCCAAGGTAAGGGTTGGTGGGTCATGAGAATTGTTATTGAACTCTCAAACTGGCTTGAGGGCCAAAGTGGCTAAGAGAATGGCAGTAAAGCGAGTTCTGAACCCATCTGTGTGGGCCTTTCAGTCTTTAATAATAAATAAAAAGTTTCATTTTACCAGGTAAGACCCACTGAGCTAGCTAATTTGTCAGAAGCGACCTGGCCACAAATGATAGCTAGACAAAGTGGCCTATCGCGTGGAAATTTCTAGCAGCTAAATTCTCTAAACGCATGTCGTTTCTAAATTTGGAGGGAAAAACCGGAGGACCTGGAGAGAAATCCACGCGACCACGGGGAGAGAGAGACCTGCAAACTGCAAATGATCCCATGGTAGAGATGTTGATTTTCTCTGGGTACTTCCACAAGTAAAACAAACACACACGCTTACGGAATTGGCCAAACATTTGAATGCAGCACCCTCCTCAAAAAGTATCTTCACAAAGGTTTCTACGTCAATAAAAAAAATGGTCCCACCGTTGGCTTGAGAATTTCAGTAATCTTTGTCCATTCCAGCGTGCCCAAGGAAACGCTGTCAAGCGCAAAAGAAGGAAATGTGTTTATTTACTCTCAAAAAAACTCCACGCTTCCGCTTAGCTGCGTGCAGCGTTTTTCTGTTTTGGGAAAGGTTTGGTTCATTATTTAGACCGCGCATGATCTTGGTCCGACAGTGGCACACGATTACCTACAAGCCCGGCAGAAACGCGCGCGTGTGTGTGTGCGCACACACGCAAATGAGTTAAGTGCCATGCATGTTAATGAAAGACCTCAGAGGTCAAGATGTGGCTCGTGGTTTGGGGAAGCAAAGAAGTCTTTTGAATTTGGTGTTTCCGTCGTGAGATAAGGATGTGTTTTTATTTGCTTCAAAATTGACTTGACCATCTTTAAGGTACTGTAATGTCTTTGATCCGCTCACACCTCGCTCTTAATGCAACGTTCCCTCCTCCACCGTAACCAAAGCCTCTTGTTGAAGCCTCCAAAGGGGGGAGGGAGGTCGCTCCTTTCTGAAAGATCGCTCCTCCAAGGTCTTTGGAATTCCCTCCTTGCCATTTGCACCGCTGAGACCCAACAGCTGCTAAAGT